CTGGTGGTTTCATTCTGTTGTTTTTTCTGGGGATTGTTGTCATTTTTATCTCTATCTAGTATGTCTTTCAATATTCTTTCTAGGGTTGGTTTGGTGGATGTGAATTTATTGTTCTTTGTCTGACATCCTTTTGATCTCCTTTTTCAGAGTACTATAGGTTTCAATGTAAAGGCCTTTTATTTACTTTGTTAGATTGACTCCTAGGTATTTAATATTTTTGGATGCTATTGTGAAAGATGTTGTTTCCCTAATTTCTCCCAGTGAGTTTGTTATGTGTGTACAGGAAGGCTATTGATTTTTGAGTGTCTACTTTGTATCCAGCTATGCTACTGAATTTTGTTATTAAATCTAGAAGTCTTTAGGTAGAGTTTTATATGTAGAGTATCATCCATAAATAATGATAATATAATTTCTTCCTTACCTATCCTTACTATTTTTATTTCTTTCTCTTATCTAATTACTTTGGTTAATATTTCCAAAACTATATCGAATACAAGTGGTGATGATGGACACTCTTCCCTTTATCTTGATTTTAGAGAGAAAGCTTTCAGTTTTTGTTCAGTAAGTGTGATTTTGGCTCTTGGTTTGTCATAGATGGCTTTTATCAGATTGAGATAAAGACCATCTATTCCAATTTTATGTAGACTCCATACCATGAATGGGTATTGGACTTTGTCAAATGCTGTTTATGCATCTGTTGAGATGATCGTATGGTTTTTGTCCTTAGCTCTGTTATTGTGCTGTATTACATTAACTGTTTTGTGTATGTTGAACCATCCTTGAACCTTGGGATAAGTCTCACTTTGTCATGGTATATAATCTTGATGATTTGCTGCAGTATGTTTGCCAGTGTGTTATTGAGGATTTTTGTATCTGTGTTCTTTAGGGAGATTGGCACATAGTTATCTTGTTTGATTGGCTTCCTATCTGGCTTTGGTATCAGGGAAATGCTTGCTTCCAGGAGTGAATTTTGGAGTATTGCTTCCTTTACAATTCTATTAAAGACTTCATGATTTGGGGTGGAGGGCAAGGGAGTTCCTGTTGCTTGGAGGATTGTTTTCCATCCTTTGCCTTTCAATCTATGAATTTCTCTTTGAATTAAATGTGTTTCTTGTGTACAGCATATTTTTGGGTCTTGCTTCTTGATCCATTCTGCTTGTCTGTTTCTTTTGATTGGTGAATTGAAACCATTTACATGGCTGGCTATAACTGGTATGTATCCACTTATCCTCATCATGTTATTTTCCTGGTTTTTTTCCATGTTATCCCCCCCCCACCTCTGTTTGATTACTTGCTTGAGTGGTGGGTTGATTCTGCCGGGGTTCATGGAGTTGTAGCCCTCATCATCTCTTTCTAGAATGTCCTACAGCATATTTTGGAGAGCTGCTTTGATGATCATGAACTTCCTCAGGTGTTCTGTGTCATGCAAGTACCTTATTTTTCCATCAATTTTGAAAGATTGTTGTGTGGGCTATATCCATTGAACTGGAGGTTTGTTTCTTTTAGGGCTTGAAATACTTCACTCCAAGCTCTGCCTAACTTGAGAGACTGTGTGGAAAAGTCTGTTTTGATTGTGGTGAGCTTTACTTTATAAGTGATTTGTTTCTTTTCTCTAACAGCTTTTAATATTCTGTTCCTGTGTTAAATTTCCAAAATCTTATTATATGGCTTGGTGTAGTTTTTTGGCTAACTGGAGTTCTTATGCCTCACTCATATCAAATGATTTTTCCATGCTTGGGGAGTTTTCCTCCATAATTCCTGTGAACAGGTTTTTTAAAGTTGTTTGTGTTGTCTCCTGTTTTCTGTTAATTCCAGCAAATCTTACATTATTCTTCTTTATATCACTTAGCAGCTGTTGGGTTGATTTTTTGTGGTCCCTTGGTACTTTTAAGAAATCTTTACTCAGGGCTGGGGATTTAGCTCAGTGGCATAAGCACCTGCCTTGCAAGCGTACAGTTGTGAGTTTGATCCCCGGTACCAAAAAAAAAAAAAAAAAATCTTTATTTTCATGATTACAAATTGCAGTGGTTGTCTGTACCTGATATTCTCTCCTCAGGTTCATTGATTCTACAGCATATACTTTCAATGGAATTTTTAATATCCCTCGAGATCTATTTAAATGTTTTGTGGATTCTATTTCTTTCCTATGTTAGGTGTTCATGGTTTCCACTATTTTCCTAAGTTCCTCTGTTTTTTAAATGTGTATCTGCTCTAAGAGTTACTAACCATTTCTTTCATTATGATCACCATCTCTGAGAGATTATTTATGGTTTGACTTTTTTTCATCTGCTTTGTTACTTACACTGTTATCATGTCAGAAAGTCCAGGCTTTGAAATTGTTCCAATTTGTTGCCTTAGGTGAGCTGGCAGTATGGGGTTGCATCTTTCTTAAGTGTCTTCTTATTTCCTATTTTCATTGTAGTTTAATTCCTAAGTCAATGTTTGTAAATTGCTTATGGCAGGTAGTTTTACTGCTAGTACATAGAACCCTTGAGAAATTACTGCTTTTCAGAGATGTTCTCCAGGTGTAACTGGCTTTTGGGTTTTGAGTCTGTGGTAAGAGCCCCTTCAATTTATTGGGGACGCCTATTTGGCCCAGCCCCTGGCTTTTTGGCACTGACCTATAGTATTGTTTAGACCCTTTGACAGTCTCCGTCTTGGCATAACAGGAAGAGCTACTGGTTAGAACAGTGACGTCATCCTGGCTAGAGGAGCACAATCAGCAGTAACAGCAGCCCTGAACACAGCCTAAAACCTGATAAGCCACGGTGATTATTAATTTCCCACCTTTCACCATATGAACTATGTGTGTGATTATATGAAAAAATCTAAAATGGACCAGGAAATTCTATATAGTACCTATGCCCTCAGTACCGTGATTTTACTCTCAGGGGAGAATATTTAATAGGAATTAGGAAGAAGTAGAGAAATAGAAGAAGAGGAAGAGATTAGAAGCAAGGCTGGAAGACAAAGATAGAGTCCATGAACTTCGGGAAACTGGTGAATAAGACAGAAGGGAAAGAGAGAAGGAAAAATAAAATTAAAAGAACAAGAAGAAAACTAGAAACACTGTTCACACTCATATAAAAACAAGATCAATCAAGGAAAAAAAAACAAGAAAAGAAAAAACTAAAAGGAGGTAAAAAGTCCACTGCAGGGTGTGTCTCTGCTGTTACTGGTGGACAGAGTGGGCAGGCACAGCCCGGGCCCACGTTGGTGAATCCCACCAAGCCAGCCATAGGTTTGTTGCTGAGTAGCGGGGAACCCCAGCAGCTGCATTTCAGTCCCACTAAGCTCAGGCTGGTTTCTGGCTGTGAAGCTAGAACCTGATTGGTTCAGCCTGCAACATTCTGCGCGCCTCCTGCCGGCCTGAACTGGGTTCCACCTCACCCTGACTCGGGCCAGCCTGCAGCTGCTCTGAGACCCGAGCTCAGCTGACCCCTCTCCAAGACGGCTCCTGCCAGTCGCTCTCTCCGGGGGGAGGTCTGAACCCAGGTAACTCACCAGCCGCTGCAGTCTGCTGCATCCATTCGGCTAGTGTGTTCCTCGGCGGCGGCCCCTGGCATCATCGGCAGGCACCCTGCATCTGAGGTTCAAGCCGCCCCTCCCGCACAGTACGCCAGGGATCAGGACCTTCTTCTGCACTGAGGTCTTTCTTTTTGAAGCCCTCTCGGTGGGCTTCAGTTCTCACTTCGGAGCCTGCTGGGCCCCAGGGACCCGCTTCTTTCCTTTTCTTCCTCGTGTTGCTGTATTCCAGCATCTCAACACCAAATCTCAGAGAGGCTGCTTCTCTGCTCCGCTAGCTCCCCTGAAGTCTGATTTAATAACTTAGCGTTTTCCTTTAATTGCTTCGTCTTTATTTTACCCTGGAGTATTTCAAAGTAAATTACAGACGTCATGTTATTTTACCCCTAAATTCTTCTGTTTCATCTCTTAAAATTAACAGTTTTCTGTCTTAATCACAAATAGCAGTATTGTATTTTGCAAGATGAGTATTTCCTTAAGATTACTCAATACTATATTAAAATTTCTCTGGTTGGTCCCATATCTTTAAAGTTGGATTCAATCAAGCCAGGTGTGGTGGCTCATGCCTGTAATCCCAGCACTTGGGAGGCTGAGGCAGGAGGATCGTTGCAAGTTCGAGATCAGCCTGGGCTACAAAGTGAGCTCAAGGTCAGCCTGAACTGCATAGAGAGACCCTATCTCAAAAAGACAAAAAAAAAAAAAAAAAGTTGGATTCAATCAAAGTTCATATAATTGTCATTGTGTCTTTCGTTTCTTTAATCCAGGATAGTTGTTTTTAGTTGGAGTGTGGTTTTTACCTCCTAAGAGACATTTTCAGTTAGTGCACTGGGCTGGTAGTTGGGGTGCCACTGGCATCTTGTGGGTGTTTAACCTCCTATGAAACATACCAGATCCTATCACAGCCCAAAACACCAGTAGTGCTGAGTCTGAGAAATTCTGCTCCAAACAGCTGCATCCAAATGACTTCATGCCACCAACTTCCTGAAGGGCCCAGGCCAATTGTCCTGTAGAAATTCTGTTTTGTTTTGAGGCAGTATTTCACTATATAGGTCAAGCTGGCCTTGAATTCACTACACAGCCCAGTCGGGCCTCAAATTCATGGCAGTGCTCTTGCCTCAGCCTCCTGAGTACTGGAATTACAGACATGTGCCACCACTCTAGGATAATCCCATAAAAAATCCTTCCTTCTGGATTTCACCAGTTATTTCCATTTCCCATGGTGCCTTTCACCTCGTTGCTGCCGTAAATGTAACTGCTGGAAACTAGAAGTTTAAAGTAAAAGTGGTTGAGAAATGTGAAAGCCACAATAGAGAATCATCGAAGAGCGGTTGGTGGCCAACTCAGTCCCTCACCCAGTGTTTCGGTCCTTGTTCTGTGACCTGGGATGGGAGGTGGGGAAAGACCTTCTAAACCCCCAAATGCCTTCAGGAAGCTTCTCTGCCGCCCCAAGAGTGAGCCCTGTGTCCACGCAACAGGTCACTGTGAACTTTGACAAGATGCTGACGACCAATGCCAAGCTCCGGAAGGAGATCGAGGACCTGCGGTTCGAGAAGGCCGCTTATGACAATGTGTACCAGCGGCTGCAGCGGCGGCTGCTCATGCAGAAGAAGACCATGAACGCAGCCATTGAGCAGTCCTCGCAGGCCTATAAGCAGAGGTGAGGGCAAGCTCCAGGGCCTGTGGCGCCTTGCTGAGCTCTGCTTTCTTGTGTGTGGGGACCTCAAATCACAATGGTGCCAACTCCACAGGCTGCCTACATGTCCTGCACAATGCCAGGCGTTCTGCGCCATGTTCCAACCCTCACATTTCTCCCGGAAGTAATGTCCTCATTTTCCAGACCAGGGCTGAGAGGCTTGGAGATGCTAGGAATGTGCGGAAGTGGCAGATGGGCTGAGCTGAAACTCACACCTCGGCTCAGCACCCTCCCCTCCAGGAGTCCTACTTCTAGCCTGGGGTCTTTCTCAATCTAGGTCTCTAGAAACAGAGTTTGGCTGGGAAGAGAACAGGTGTTAGAGTCAGACTCCGTTGGGTTGGCAGCCTGCCCCCATTACTGCTGTGTTGTTATAGGATCTCTTCCAGTGGTAGAGCTTAAATAATATCTGCATATAAAAGAGTGCTGGGACACAGTCATTGTCAGTGATGGTCGTGGTGGTGGCGGTGATGACGGTGATGGAGATGGTACTGATGGTGGTGATGGTGACGGTGTTGATGATAGTGTTGATGGTGATGGTGGTGAGCATGATGATGTTGATGACTCTGGTAAGGAGGATAATGGTGATGACAGAGAGGGTAAGAACAGGAAAATCACTCCCTGGTCGTGGCCTAGGGCTTACAGTTCCAGTAACTCAAGTGAGAAAGGATGTCTTGCTCTAGAAACTTTTCTTAAGAAACCTGGTGGTCTGTGGTGGAGTGGAAGTGCCAGGGCTGGGAGGGACGCCCCGCTCTGCCCCTCCCTAGGCTGGAGGCCATGGCTCGCATTGCGGCCTTGAAGGACCGCCAGCAGAAGGACATCTCCCAGTACAACCTGGAGATCCGCGAGCTGGAGCGGCTCTACGCGCATGAGACCAAGCTCAAATCCTTCCTGCTCGTCAAGCTCAACGACCGCACTGAATTTGAGGAGCAGGCCAAACGGGAGGAAGGTACATTTCCCAGGGCTGGCTCCCCCACCTCCATCTCCTTATAGCATAGTTGCCAATTTTCCCAAATGAAAACCCAAGATGCCTAGTTAAGTTTAAATTCCAAGTAAACAAAGACTACACTTGGAGGATAAGTATGTCCCGTGAGTACTGGCAAATACTTACACTGAAGCATGTTTGTACTTTGGGGGATGTGAAGTGTGCCCACAGTTCACACACACCTGGTCACCCCGCATTTTGCCCAGATTCTCACACCAAGACTTTCATTGTTCAGGGGAGACTTGTGCATCTCGGGTTCCCTAGAGCACCCCTGGGATTGCGGGTTTGGGGGAGGATGGTGGGGGAAGTGCAGGGGTAAAGACTAGAGGAAGCCAGCTGCAAGCTTCCGAGTAGAGTGGCTCAGGGCCCAGGACACACGTGCTGGTGACAGCACGTGAGAAGAGCTGACTGCACGGGGAGCACACCAGAGAAGCTGCACCCGGCCGTGGAGTCGGAGGCTGCAGTGGGCGCGCTTTTATCCTGCCTGTGGCGGGGTCATCAGAGGAGCCCAGCAAAGTGGTGTCAGCATCTGGTGGTCACAGGCACTGGTGGTAGTGGGGACTCAATCTTTTTAAAAAATTATTACCTTATTGGTACATTTTAGAGACACATAATGATCACATTCATCATCGGGAATTTGTTCCTATACAAACTCTTCCCCTCCTTATTTACAAAGCTTTGTTTCCATTTATTTCTTCTATTCTTTTTCTTGTCCTTTCCCCCTCCCCTCCCTTGTTTCCCTTCTCATGTGAACGTTTTCTTCCCATTTCTTGATATTTGCTATACATTTTGGTCCTTCTGTACACTTTTGGCTTCTCTCACCAGAGAAATAATGCAGATTTTAAACTTGTGCATCTCCATACTTCACCTAAGAGTATGGAGACTGGATCTTAATTTATGTTAAGAAAATTACTTTATTCCAAAGACAGCCTTGAGCCACAAAATGGAAGGAGTCACATGGCCAGAAGTAGCCAGAAAGATCTAGAAAAGATCTTCTAATTGCCATGTGAAGGCCAATCAGAGAGACAAGGCTGGGTTCAAGAGACACGGTTGATGCAGGATTCAAAGCTGGAGACAGCAAGGGTCAGGAGAGAATTTTCTAGAATCTAATTGTATTTACCAAACTCTGAGCCTTCCTAAGAACCTGCCCTGGGGCCTTTTGTGACCACTTTCTTTTCTTTTTTTTTTTTTTTTTTTTTTTTTTTTTGTCATTTTCCTTTTTATCGGTACCGGGGATCGAACTCACTCACGACTGCCTGCTTGCAAGGCAGGCACTTATGCCGCTGAGCTATGTGACCACTTTCTTGATCTTCATCCTGCTCAAGTGTCACCTCACTAGACAGGTCTCCCGTTTCCATCTAAAGCTGGATGATGAGTGAATTTCTTTTTCTGTTTACTAGGATAGCTCCTTTTCCTTCTTTTTGCCTCACTGGCTTCATGGGGCAGGATTTTGCATGAACAGAGCCTGGCCCAGTGTGTGGTCTGTAGTGAATACTTAGATTAACAAGAGTCTCTCACCTCTCCTGGAAAGATCTAACCCCTCCCTGAGTGGCGAAGTCAAGCTCCTGCCCTCTGCCCATCACCCTGTCACCGAGCGGAGTGGCCTCCCCTTTCCTAGCTCTCAAGGCAAAGAAGCACGGGAAGAAGAGCAAGGGCACGAGCTTCGAGAGCTACGAGGTGGCCCACATGCGGCTGCTGAAGCTGGTGGAGGACGGGAACCTGAACCACCTCATCGAGGACTTCCTGGCCAAGGAGGAGAAGAACTTTGCCCGCTTTACCTACGTCACGGAGCTCAACAACGACATGGAGATGATGCAGAAGAAGACGCAGAAGATCCAGGTCAGGTTGGCAGTTCCTGGGCCCTGGGCCGCCGTCCCCACCGCAGACTCTCGGGTACAGCCCATGAGGGGCTCGCAGATGATGGGCCACAAGGTCCAGCCGGTTTCCCCCAGGTCTCCCCTGCATTTTGGCTTCTCTGGAGTCAGATTCATCTTTTGGTTGACTTCTACAGGTAAGGTGTTCAGGGTCCCCTGCCTCAAGCGGTGACGTTTATACCCATGGCTTGTTCTATAATCCAAGGTTCAGTCAACCACAACCCATGGCTGATTTCTCCGTCAGTTTATCCCATGTAAAAGCCCATGACTTTTACACTTTTAAACGATTCTAAGAGGGAGGAAAGAAATGAAAACTACGTGAGAGAGACATAGTATTTCTGGCCCTTTGCCTAAAAAGTTTGCTAACCCCCATTCATCGACAGCTTCAGAGGGTTGAGGAGAGATGGTTGCTTCCCATCTCAGACAGACTTGATGTATGTGAGCATAGTAAAGGTTCTGACAAGTCCCACAGGAAAGAAACCTGTTTACCTTTTTTGAACCCACAATTTCCCAAACTTCATTGACTCCCTGCGCTACTTACTACCCTAAACAAACACCATCTGGACTGGATCTGCACAGCATGGAGTCTAAGGTCCTCTGCTACTCCGCAGGTCCTGCCCTGTTTGGCTCGGCCCTGCTTTGCTGGACCAGGTCCCATCACAAGTCCTAAAGCACCCTGGCGGCTCCTGCTCCCTCTCCCCTCCCCTTCCGGTTGACATCCTGCTCATTTGCCCTAGTCCTGCACAAATGTCATCTCCTTAGGGAATGCATTACTCCTTTCTTCAGCCCTGTGCTCTTGTATGTGGCCGGAGGAGCTGCTCTCTTTCACATAAGCCAACTGTCCCCAAATGTGGGGCGTGTGGTGGCCGCGAGCAGCAGGTAAATGAGAACATTTACCTTTCCTAGCGATGGATTAATTGTAACGAGTATCAGGAAAATATACAATAAGCAAAGCAAGCCAGTGATTCAGTGGATAGTATCACTCAGAGATAATACCAGCAAACAACAGGGCTAGTAAACAAACCAATAGGCCGATGTACAGAAAACTGTTAACAGATTAACAGACCATAGTAATCCAAGTGGGAACGGCAAGAAGAAAGGTAGTTCTGAGTTTTCATACAAAGATAGCACAAAGGGGTAAATCAAGGAGAGTTTCTTAAAGGGTCTTTGTTTACAAAGGTTTAAATAAATTATGCAGGGCAACTACAGGCCCTGCCTGCCTCCAGAAAGGATGGAGGAACTCTTCCCGGAAATACGAGACGGGAGGGGATGGTCACTAGTTGTGGCTTCCCATTGGCTGGATCCCACCGGAAGCCAGCGCCAAAGGCACCTCCTATTGGTTGGTCTAACCGGAAGCAGGTAGATAAGGAAGTCTTAGGCACTGCCAGTGCTGCTCCTGTAGGGCATAGATCAGAGAGGGGAAGGGTAGTAGGTGGCTCAGCTCCAAGTGGAGTGGGCAGGTTGGCAGCTGCGCTCTGAATGACCCTTGGGCTTCTCTTGACCTCTTGCAGAGGAATCATACCCAGGAAAGGCCCAGGACCCAATGGGTCCTCAACAGACTTAACCTTGACCTCCCCATTCACCTTGAGGGTGCCGTCTCCCCATTAGCCATAGTCTGTCTCCCAGGATTAGGACAAAGCCTGCCCTCTCTCAGCCTCGCCGTCCCCATCTGCAGCATGACACATTTGGACGAGAGGAGTTTCCAAACTTCTATCAAGAAGCTACAGAACATTTTTGTTTCAGCCAGTATTATAAGCAAAATGGTACATAAGGCAGATGAACTGGGCTGCCCGGTAGGACGGGGGATTGGAAGGGGGCCCCCGGAACCTTTACCCTACCTTGAAGGCTGGGGTCTGAGCTTGTGCACTGGCTGAATCCAGTCACTCTTAATCTCCTGCTTGATCTCCTTCACCCTCTGATTTATTAATTTACTAACTGCCACCATTTATACATCAGTGTACTCTACATGAGTATCTGAATTTACGGTTTCTCTTGGAAAAATCGGATCTGACAACTTCGGCACACGTTCTCGCAGGGAGCTGAGTTCCTATAAAAATCCAGGCTCTCAAAAAAAAATTAAAAAAAAAATCCAGGCTCTCTCTTGCCATCCACAGCGACTAGCTGGTTCTGGTTCTCCTGATTCCATGGTCTGGACCCCGCAGGCTCAGTGGACTTTTGAGTTTGCGGCCTCCGCTGTAGATGTGCCGCTACTGCCCTCTGGTGGGCATCTGTGGTACTGCGCGATAGGACTTTGCGGGCCACGCAGCTGAGGAAAAAGTGTCCCCCTTGGGTTGGAAGCACACAGGACTGTGGATACCCGTTCTCCAGGAAGGAGAACCTTACGGGTCCCCGTGGGATGACGAGGACCGACCCTGCCGTGGAATGAGCAGACGCCGGCGGATGCTCAGACCTGACCGGAAGTGTGTTCCTGAGCAGAGGCGACCTCAAGCTTCCAGGGGGATCTTGTCCCTCAGCTGCACATCTGGTCCTGTGTTTTAGGGCGAGGGTGCCTGTGTAAGATGGGCCATTCCAGACCTTTCTGGGCCTCAGTTTTCCCATCTGTAGAATGATCTGTGGGCCAGAACAGCTGCTTCCCAGATCATTTTTTAGTCACAGAACTGTGCAGTTTGGTGCATAGAGTTGCAAGAGCTGGCTGGATGCATCTGGAAAACATAGATGTCCAACATGGAGGCTTAATCTCACAACCCCCGCACTAAATCTCTGTTTACATACAGGATGCTCTAGACGGTTCATCTGTTTAGCAACTCACCCTCCTGGTTTACTATAGATAACTCCCAGGTTCAGGGACCCCACGATCCCTGCAGTAGAATCACAAGATGCTTCCTTCTAAAACGCAGACCCTCAGGCCCCGGCTCCTACCCACAGTTCTCGAAAGCTCCGCGATGGACCAGGGATCCACATTTAGCTGTGTTTCTGTTTGAGATTTTTTGTCTTATTGTGTGAAGTGACCAGCAGTGAGATACCGAAGCACCTAGCAGTAAACACTAAGATTGGCCCTGAGAAGACGGCCTGGACGGTCCACCTTTGTCCTCTCATTCAGTCATGTTCAGGGACAAAGTCCTGCGGCAGGATTGCTCAAAAGGTTCGGACACCCTGTGAAGCCCGGTGGTCCTCAAAACCGAGCACCTGGCAGCAAGTTAGAAATGCAGGGGCTCAGCTGGGCGAGGCGGTACACCCTGCGATCCCAGTGCTGGGGGGGCTGAGCCAGAACTGCTGTGAGTTTTGAGGCCAGGCTGGGCTACATAGTTTAAGCCCAGCCTGCACTGGACTAGGCAGCTAGACCCTCTCTCAAAAAGCAAGCAAAAAATCACAGTTCTTATCTAGGTGTCTTTGGGAACGAGTTAGACATTCTATTACAGGAACACATGAATACTCAAGTGTATAGCAGCAAAACTCATAATAGCAAAATCTTGGAAGCAGCCTGTATGTTCATGGCTGGATAAATGCATAAATAAAATGTGGCATTTACACACAATGAAATAGTACTCTGCCATAAAGAAGGATAAACTTGGTTTGTAGGAAAATGGATGCACCTTGAGACCCTAATGTTAAGTGAAATAAATCAGACAAGCTTAAAGACTTCATGATTTCCCTTCTGAGACCCAAATGATCAATAATGTAAAGAGCAAAATAAGGGACAGATCATAGGAAACAGAGAGAAAGAGACGTTTTGCAACTGGGAGGGGGTGAGACGGAGGGAGGAAGGTGGAGGCAGGGAAGGGGAGGTAAAAACAATGATGACGTGTTATGTCCCTGCGCCAGCTCCCCAGGAGGACGTAATCACTGTACTGCAAACCTGTGCTGAATCCGTTCCCGCTCCCATCCCCCAGCCAACTGGCCGCGGGCAGTTCTCATACATGAGGGCGCACACCAGCGCCCCCGTATGGCCACGCCCGCCGAGTCCGCCCGGCACCCGGCCTCACTCCCGCCCCTCCCTGCAGGACGAGATCCTCCTCCTGCGGTCCCAGCAGAAATCCGAGCGCGAGGACAGCCACTTGGCGCTGAGGCAGCTGGAGGTGAGGGGCGCGGCGTCCCGCTGTCCGTCCGTCTATCCGTCCGTCTGTCCCTCAGGCCTGTCGGGGCTCTAGGAGCAGGAAGGCCTGGCCCAGGCCGTCAGTACCCAGCTCTTGTGTTGGCCTGGTCTCCATCAGTAAAGACAAGGACAATCTTTTTTTCCTTTCAGTGCTGGGAAAGGCGTCTGGGGCCTCCTCCCGGCTAGCAGAGTATGGTGTGCTGGGCTCTCGGTACACTGCCCGGGCTGGCCTGAAACTTGTGATCTTGGGTCTCGGCCTCCTGAGACCTGCGCACGCGCCACTACACAGCTCTTCATTTGTTTGTGGAGGCAGCGTCTTGCTAACTCACTAAATTGCCAAGTTTGGGCTCCAATTTGCGATCTGCCTGCCTCAGCCTCCTGAAGTACTGGGATTACAGGTCTACACCACCACGCCTGGCCTGTAGATGTAACTTAACAAAAGTACTGTAAGGATATTGCTTGGGTCACTTTATTAGCAGCTGAATAAAATTAAGTAAATCTGTAAATGGACAGACCACACCCTGGTTTCTTCTAGCTTTTTGTTTTGCCATCCATAATGTGTGGCTTACTCCAAGGGTGCCATGTGGTTGCGGCATAGCTGTCACAGATCCTGCCATCACCTATACATTCCAGGCAGGAAGAAAGTGGGAGAGGCAAAAAAAAAAAAAAAAAAAATGCTTAAAATTTCTTTCCCCAAACCTAACACTTCTTTATAAACATCTTATTGGCCATCCCCGGCTCGAAGAAGGTTGGAAATAGGATTTTTTGCTGGTCACATTGGCACACAGAGACCCTGAACAAAAACAGGAAATTGGGGCGTCTGGCCACCGAATCCTGTTCCAACCCAGCTCAGTCCAGGGGCTGTGGCCCTCGGTCACTTGTGTTCCCCACAGGAAGGGTATCCTGAGCCTGGGGGACCCGATGGCAGCACCACAGCCGCGCGCCACCAGCGGGCAGCAGCGCATGCTCTGCCAGAGGAGCCCTCTGCAGAGCGAGGCTAGTGGGGCCTGCAGACTCTGGGCCCCAGGACACTGTCTCCAACCCTGACCCCGTCACACACCGCCTTGGGGAGCCAGGGTGGCCTCCCAGGAACAGTTACTCCCTCACTTGCTGATTTTGAAATAGTGACATAACTGCCCCAGGCCTCAGTTTCCTCATCTGTAAAATCGGGGTTTTAGCCCCAGCTGCTGCTTAGGGCTGCGAAGGTTAAATCGCTCCCAGCTGAGGCAGTCCAGCCATATTTAGCTCTGTGGACCAAAATGCTTTTCCTTCCTTTTCTGTTCTATTTCATTTCTTTCTTTTTTTTTTTTTTTAAGACAGGGTCTCGTTATCTAGTTCAGGCTGGCCTTGAACTCACTAAGTAGCCGACGCTGGCCTTGACCTCATGGAGATCCTCCTGCCTCAGCCTCCCAGTGTTGTGATTACAGGCGTGCACCACCTTATACAGCCCTTATTTCGTTTTTTGAAGACGGCTCCGAACCCGCAGAGGGCTGCACACCTGCCGCCTGGAGTGGCAGGGCTTAGGGCCCGAAGCTGCGGGGATCCCGCGATAGGCTGACGGTGGCGCTGCGTCTGTCCCCAGGAGAAACTGAGGAAGACCTCGGAGGAGGTGAGCGAGTATGAGCAGAGATCCGGAGAGGTCAGCAAGACCCTGCAGCTGCTCAAGAGCGCCGTGCAGAGCCTCTTCCAGAAGATCGCCTGCGACCCCAGCAGGATCCTGGTGCAGCTGGGGGAGACCGGCGAGGTGACGGACGCCAACCTGCCGCAGTACTTCGGTGAGCCCCGCCCCCGCGACCTGCGCGCGCAGCCGGGACAGCCGGGCCGGTAGGGGGCGCCCTGCTCAGCCGGAGAGGCCGGGCGGCCTGGGGCCTCTCGCCCTGCGCGGCCTCGCAGCTTCTCTGTGGCCCCCGGCTTCCTCCTGTCCGGCGCTCCGCGGGCTCCACGCCTCCAGCCGCGCTGCCTGCACCTCGTCGCCGTGCGCCTCGCGGCCGGTGTCCTCGGCCTCAGCCCCGCTGAGGTGCGCGCGCAGCGGGCCCCTGCGGGCGGCTGCCGGGTGTCTCTGGGCTCCTGCATCCGAGTCAGGGCGCCTGGCATCCAGAGCGCCCTCCGCCTCGCCGGCTGACGGTGCGCTTTTGCAGCCTCCATCGAGAAGCGGACCAACGACCTGCTGCTGCTGGAGGCCCACCGCCGCATGCAGGAGGCGGAGAGCCCGGAGGCCGAGCCCCCGCAGCCCTTCGTCAACCCGTTCTGGGGCGGCTCCGTGCTGCTCAGGCCGCCCGAGCCCGTCAGGGTGGCGCCCCCTGTGTTTGGGGCCGACCCCTTCAGCGAGCGGCTGGAGGACGGTGAGGCCCGCCCCACCCCCGGGGGGCGCCTGACGCTGGGGCGCTGTCGGTCATGCACGGTTCCCCGAAAGCCCCCTCCCTGTGACCCGGGAAGGTGACCCGGGCGGGTGCCTGTCTGCTCATGCTCTTCTCTGGGGGGATGCAGTCAGTTATCTGGGCACCCCCGGAAGAAGTACCATCTGCCCATCGCCCCTCCACATCCCCATCCCTGAGAGCAGCACTCCCCCCCCCCGGCCCCCCATCACCGGGCGACTCCGCTCGCTCATGAGCCCGTCTCCGGCGCAGTGGATCAGCCCCTGGAGCACAGCAGCCTGCACCAGCTGGTGCTGGACGCCTACCTCTCCAAGGAGGCCCGGAGCAAGGAATTGCACCCCGACATGCTGTCAGAGAAGGGCGAAGAGCCGAGGCCCAAGAAGAAGCAGACGCTCTGAGCCCCGCGGCCACGTTTGTACCAGAACTGGAAAGAATAGATGTTTTGTTCTGTAACCTCCGGACCTTTGCACGACCAGTGCTGCGAGACCTGGGTGGTAGGGGTGGTGCGGGACGAAGAATGGGGTTCGTAGCCACCACAAGCGGGAGGGTTGGGTGCCTCAGCACTGTCCGTGAGGAGCCCTAGAAGGTGACCTGCCCCGGCCGAGACAAAGCACGGACAAGCAAAGTGGAGGCCCGCGCTGCCTAACACTGATTTGTGGTTGTTGTTGGTTACTAAGGATTGAACCCATTTGACTGTGTTATATCCCAGCCCTTTTTACATTTTAAGTTTTTATTTATGTATTTAGTTTTGGTTTTTTGGTGGTGGGAGAATTGAGATAGAGTCTCACTAATGCAGTTCAGGCTGGCGTCCAACTCACAGCTGTCTTCCTGCCTCAGCCTCCCTAGTGCTGTGACTACAGGTGTGCACCCCCATGCCTGGTGTTATTTTTGGCTTTTTTTTGAAACAGAGTCTCAGTCTGTAACTCAGGCTGGTTTTGAACTCACTATGTAGCCCAGGCTGGCCTCGGACTCAGGGCAATCCTCCTGCCTCAGCCTCTTGAGAGCGCTGGCATTACAGGTGTGCACTACACCTGGCCCTTTTTATTTTTTTGTGATAGGGTCTCACTAAGTTGCCCAGGCTTGGCTCGATCTTGAGATCCTCCTGTTTCATCCTCCCAGAGTGCTGGATTCCAGGCATGTGTCACCATACCTGGTCAGTGTATTTCTCTTGAGACCCCAGGGCCACACGGGGCACAGCAGGGCTCATAGCTGCTCAGGCCACGGGGTCTCAGGCCATGGTGGCTGTGTCTCTGTCTCCCGTGCACAGCTGTCTCTGCGTCTGCATCTGTGTGTGTGTGTGTGTGGTGTCGCTTGGGGGCCAGCAGGTCACCTCCGGAGCTGCGCACAAACCCTTCCTAGGCAGAACTGTGATTCCTGAGCCTCAGGATGCCCTGCTTCCTGTTCCCTCCAGTGTGACCTCCTCCCCCTGCCCTTGTGGCCAATCATGTGACCAGGCTGCTGTCCCAGGTTGATGCAGGTTCCTCCAGCCCAAGGCACAGTATGCAGCTGGGGAGCGGATGGGCTAGTGTCCACCAGGTCACAGAGGGGCAGGAGAGCACGGGGAGCAGCTGGGGGCCACCTGGCCACCACTGAGCACAGATCGCAGGCCCCAGGTGGGTGCTGCAGACTCCTGGATGCGGCTGTGCCTGAAGCCCCGGCACTTTGTCATGGGCACCCATCTCTCAAAGGTGGGGGGCCGGGAGTTTGCCACCACTGCAGGCCTGACCGCTTTGGCTGTGGCTTTGGTCATCAAGATCAGTTTAGCTCAGCGGCATAAGCACCTGCCTTGCAAGCAGGCGGTTGTGAGTTTGATCCCCAATACCGATAAAAGTGAAAAAAGACCAAAAAAAAGATAAAAAAAAAGAAGATCAGTTCAGGTCTGGACCGCAGGCCCATTGGCACCCCGAGGAGGGGTGTTCGTGTGGCTTCACAAAGGGCACCTGGGGCAGCAGAGGACACCAGGCCAGGTCTGCACATCCCTTTTATTTGCCCGCGGCCTCCAGCTGTGTTTCCAGCCCAGCTACAAGCCCGGTGGGCTGCGCGGAGGCGGAGGCTGCTCAGTCCTTCTCCTCGCCGTGGGTGATGATGTGCACCAGGTTCTTGTAGTCCAGGTTGCCGGTCACATCGGGAGGGAAGGCTGTAAACATCTGGTCGATCTGCAAACAGCCAGCAGGGGGCGCCGGCGTGACAGGAGGCCGGGGTGGGACACCCAGTGCCCTGACCCTGGGGCCTCCTGCATTTAGGGATGTGTGTGTGTGTGTGTGTGTGTGTCTGTCTGTCTGTGCTCCTGGGGACTGAACCCAGAAGCTTTGCATGAGCTACATCCTTGGTCCATTTTTAATTTGGAGCAAGGGTCTCACTGAGCCACTAAGTTGCCCAAGCTGGGCTCAGACTTGTGATCCTCCTGCCTCAGCCTCCAGTGCTGGGGTGACAGGTGTGAGCCATCCCGCCTGGCTTACAATTTTTCTGTTTTTTAGGACAGGGTCTCGAGATGTAGTTCAGGCTGGTCTCGAACTCTTGGCGATTCTTCTGCCTCAGCCTCCTGAATGCTGGGATTACAGGGCATGCACCATACAATTTTTAATAAAATGTGGAATCCGAAAACAGGCCCCAGGGTGCTGTTTTAAACAGACTCATTAAGGTTCATTAATGCCATTGCCAGGACCATGGCTACAGCACCTTGAGCAAACTGCCAAGGGGCCCTTCTCCCAGAGCATTACCGTTGCCTGTTGGAAAAACGACTGAAACACACACCCTTTGACACCCCCTATGAGATCAGTAGCTGGGACAGTTGTGCAGTGCACAACTTACACAACAGTATGGGGCAGCCCCTCAGGGCATTCACCATGGATGTTTTAACTATTGCCTCCGTGCCTTGTGGAGGGAATGACTGTGCCAAGGGCAAAGCAGTGGCCTGTCTCTCAGTGTGGACTACGCCCCTGTGGGTTTCAGAGGGCACCGAGGACTCCCTTACCTCCTCCTTGGAGAATCGCTCAGCCTGTGTGGTCAGCATCTCTCGGACGCTGCGGAGAGGAAAGCAGGGCCATGTCAGGGGTCTGGGAGGAAGCAGGGATCCCCTGCCCCCCAAAACCCACTCACTAGTCAGCCTTTAGTACGCCTTTGCCTTCAGGGTCGAACACCTTGAATGCGTTGAGGATGGTCTCCTCGGGATCCGCGCCTGAAACGGAGCAGTGGGGGCCTGGGCCTAAGAAAGCCCTTGGCCCAGGACAGCAGATGGGGGCTGACCCACGCTCAGCCGAGCCTGGGGTAGAGTTTCCTGAGACAAGACCTTGCCAGGTAGCCCCAGGGTAGCCCTGAGCTCACAGAGATCCTCCTGCCTCAGCCTCTTCGGGAATGGCGGGAGCATGGGCGCGAGGCCAGGTGTGGGGAGACCTCTGTGACTTTGGAGCCTGCTGGGTGTGGCCCCAGGCAAGCGGAGCTGCACCTGCGTCCTCAGCCCCTGGGGACCCCCCAGCTTGCCCCGCCCCAGCTCGGCCCCACCCCCACCCCGGGAGACTGCGCATGAGCGCCCACGAACCCTTCAGCTTCTCCCCGAACATGGTGAGGAACACGGTGAAGTTGATGGGACCCGGAGCCTCCTTGAGCATTTCGTCGATTTCCTCATTTTTCACGTTCACACGGCCTGGGCGGACACACAGGGCTCAGAGCCGGGAGGAAGCGGCTGTGGGGACCCTGGCATTCATCATCCACCCTGAGGAATGTGGCCCAGGACCGGCCCGGGGCGGGGGAAGGGGGCAGAGGAGCGGGGGAGGCCTTTGAAGCCACCGACAGCCCGCGTGGGCAGGGGCGCGCTGTCTTTAGCATCTTCAGAGCCTGAAACCCGTTGGACGGATTTTTATTAATTACTTTGGGTTTTTTTTTTTTTTTTTTTGTCTTTGGAGACAGGGTCTCCTTATGAATTCAGGCTGGCCTTGAGCTCGCACCAATGCTCCTGCATCGGCCTCCCAAGTGCTGGGATTACAGGAGTGTATCAGCATTCAGCCTCATGCTTGGCTCTGATGGAAAATGCTGGTATTGTCCATTAGCCCTTCCCCGAGGGAGGTGGGAGAGCCAGGTCAGAATCACTTGTGGAAACGATTACACCCACTGTAGTAGAGATTCAGCACACAGCTGTCACCCCTGGCACAAGCCCACAGAACATCTCTGGGGTCCACATGCATGAAAAAGCAGCCCCTAAGTCTTAAGACAGCTTATGTTTTCAATATAAAAAGCGACAGAGGCTGTGAGCAGGAATGGTGCTCTCTAGAACTGTGCAGTGCCCAACCTGCACAGCTGTTCATGGCAGGCCTGGGATCTGAGGATGGGAATTGGTGGTGCTGGGCGGTGACAGATTGGACATGTGCAATTTGAAAACTCTCCATGCACTCCTGCTCATGCTGCTGAAATGTTAAATAAAGCTGAACCCAAAATAGAATGATCTTGATGATTAAAAACCTAAACCAAACAGGCCTAGAAAGACACTGAAGTGTTCACTGTGCAGTGTGGCTGGTGTGCGTGTTGTGAGTTTTCTATCGTGAGCTGCCACCGAATTCAAATGCCACACAGAAGAAGCTATTTCAAAGGCAAAAGGTCCGGTGTGAGGAGACGGAGTTGTTCTTCCCCCCAGACAACCTTGGGGTGCTTGTCTCAAATGCTGGTGGGGGTTGGGCTCTGCCTTCCGCCCCGTGTGGGCGACATACCCAGAGCGGCAAATGTGTCCCTCAGGTCGTTCTTGTCGATGAAGCCGTCCCGGTTCTGGTCCATGATGGTGAAGGCCTGCGAAGGGAGGGTTGGTGTCAGCCTGGGAGCCACCGCAGCGCCCCGGAGGGCCAGGGCCAGGGAGGTGGGGCTTGAGGGGCACCAAGGAGCACCAGGAGGCCAGGTCAAGAGCTGGGTGCTGAGTGCACGGCTGTAATCCTGGCGCTCTGGGAGGCTGAGGCAGGAGGATTGCAAATTCAAGCCCAGCTTAAACTCGGGGTGGGGGAGCCTGGGTTGAACCCCCAGTTATTTTTTAAAAATAAAAACCACATTTTATAGTTCATGATGTGTTGTTTGTCCCTCCCAAATGACAAAAAAGGAAAAGTTTCCACAATTTATAACCAATGACCCAGCACTGATGGAAGCCTGGGAAAGGCAGCCAGCCTGTCTCCCCCAGGAGCAGGGGACCAGGCCTTCCCAGCGCAGCGAGCTGGGCTGCCCTCCCCACCGCCAAGTCCTTTGCCCCTGGGTTCTGCTTTTGGGGATTCATCAAGGAGAGAGCCAGCCACATCAGCAAAGACTTGTTCTTTAGAATCCTAAGTCATTCGAAACAAAAACATCACCCAACAGGAAAAGATGTTGACGGTGAATTGCTCAAGAAAAAAACCTCTGCAGGGCTCCTGGGTGGGCATGGGAGGCTTGTCACTGTGTCTGATAAACAGATTTGGAACCAGGGAGGCTTGGGCGGCACAGATGAGCACAGGAACCCATTGTCTACGGTGGGTGGAATGGGGGATTCCTACTGTTTACTGTCATCTTTATAGTCTTCTAAAATTTTTTCCTACATTTTTTAACAAGGAATATAGTTTAGTTTTATAACTAGAAAAAGTTATTTAAAATAATTTCTTTAAAAGGTTCACATATAAACTGGGAGTGGGGGTACACATTTGTAATCCTGGCACTCAGGAGGCTGAGGCAGGAGGATTGCTGTGAGTTTGAGGCCAGCCTGGGCTACACAGTGAGCCCTCCCCACTCCGAAAAAAAGTACAGGCACCCATGAACTCTACATGCAGCCACAGGTCCTGGCTGGGGACAGGGAGGATAAGGTCTATCCGTAGGAACTGGGCAGGGGAGCCCCAGTGGTAGAGCCCCTGTGCGCCACACAGAGCCCTGGGTTCCAGCTCTGGCACTGCCACCTACCTCCTTGAACTCCTGGATCTGGGTCTGCTCGAACATGGAGAACACGTTGGAGTTGGCCCCCTCCGCCCTCTTCTTGGCTTTCTTCGGTGACTGGGGAGGGGGACAGTGGCGGTCAGAGGCGGCCCCTTCCAGGCTGAGATGGCCCATGTGTGACCTGGAGCCACGGCGCCCACATTCACCTCTCCCTTGGGGAGGGGAGGAGGGCCCCGAGGGACGGTCTGTGCTCTGGGGACACAGGTGACACCCATCGGCAGCTCTGTTCAGATGTGGGGTACACACAGCTCAGTGAGGCCCAGAGGGGGACCGATGGGGTGAGCCAGGCTCCAGGGGCCACGGTGGATGCCGAAACCACAGGACACTTCTGGGGTCGCCACCGTCCGCTCCCTCGCCCACAGGCTCGGTAAATGTCCCCTGCACATCCCCCTCAGCCGCGTGGAGAAGAGCGAGCTGCCCCCTTCCTCCTCACAGCTCCCCACAAACGCTCTACACTGCAGCACGGCCTGACTGCCTAACCGCCCCTGGAGGGAATGCGGCCTCAGAGTCCTGGCTTCAGGGGCTGCAGCTGTGACTCAGAGAGGTTGGGGGGCCGGGAGACGGCTCAGCGGCCGAGTGCCTGCCTGGTGAGCGCAAGGCCCTGAGTTTGGTTCCCGGTACTAAGAACAAGAGGTTAGGTCATTTGCCCAAGGTCACACTGCCACAAAAAGGCACAGTGTGAGTTGAACTCAGCAGTCGACTCCAGTGTCTGTGCCCCCCCAGTGCTGGGGCTCCGGGAGGGGAGACCTGCCCAGCAATACCAGAGAAAAGGTTTTAAATCTGCAAGTTCAAAAGGTGGGAAAAAACCAAAAGATTCTTTTCCCGAGCTGCCTGAACAAGACAGAAGAATTACAACTTGATCCTTGAAAGCGCTGAATCCCATTTTGCAAGCCCTGAGAGTTATCGATTCCTCCAGAGGTCAGCAGACACACCATAAAAAGCCAGCGCTTTGATTTTGTTTTTGTGAGTCTGGGAGCTGCTGTTATTTGTGGCTGATTGGGGCATCCATGGGGCTGCTCCCCCTGGAGTCCCCGAAGCTGCCCTCTCCCGCTCTGCCCTGATCCTGTCCGGCCCCAGCAGCATCCTTGGAGACTCACCATGGTGGCAGGGACACAGCACGGCCTCCGGAGAATTCCACACACCGCCCAGCTCTCCTGTGCCCGCAAACAATAAATACTTCCTCCCGGGGTTTAAAAATAACCCCATGACCACTTTTGGCAGTAATAGGTGAGGCGGACACCACCTAAGGCCCCCCCACCCCATGCCGTTCTTCTGAAGTAAGGGCCACTCGCTGGCTGCTGCCGCCGCCCAGTGACACGTGAGACCCAAAAATGCATTCAAGGTTAAAGAGGCAGCGGCTGGGTCATGGTCACGGGGGAGAGATGCTGTGTGCTCTCTGCCGCTTTGGGCGGGCGACACTTGTGCTTGTCAATTTGGGGAGAGAAAAGGGAAGCAGAGACCATGAGGCTTCTGTGACATCATCAGGCACTGGCAGCCCCAGGACCTTTGCACCTATTGTCTGTTCGACATGGCATTCCTGTCAGTCATCCACGTGGCTCCTTCTGTCCATCTTTGCTCAAATGTCACTCCTGTCTCCTTCCCTGCTTTGTTTTCCTCCACAGTTTCTATCCATCCTCAGCATCTGGTGCAACTCTATTTTATTGGGCACTGGTGCACTCTTACCTCCCCAGACAGGTCCTCTTGCATTCTCCTCTCCAGCTCCTGCCTCCTGCCTGATTCCCAGCAGCTGCTCAGCAACAAATACTGTTGACTGACTAAAGAAATGACAGCTCTCACTTACCAAAGTGCTTGCCGTGTGCCACACGCCATGTAGACATGCTTCCCGCTCATAGTAAAACATCCAATCCTCTATGGGCCTGGGGCCTGTGGAAACTGAGGCTCAGAGCGGCACAGGGAGCTTCCTGGGGCCATGCAGCACTGGAGTGGGAGTGGATGTTGCGGATCTGGCTGAAGCCGGGTCTTAGCACGCCGTGGGCACACCGTGGCTTCCTCTGTGGGCTCAAAGCATCCTGGGCAGCAGGGCGGAAGAGCTCAGGGCCTGGGCCTCAGTCATGGGTTTATTCAGCGGCCGCAGACATCAGGCCTGAGCAGCAGGTCCCCGCCTCGAAGGCTGCTCCATCCTGGGGTGTGGCACAGAGCTGAAGCTGAACTAGCATTCATCCTGCTGGGGTGGGGAGACAGCCCCCAGTGACAAAAATCCTTCCCCCTCCAGCGGAGCTTCCGCTCATGGGGCAGATGGGCCGCATAAACCAGTGCATGGCGCAGGTCACTCCGAGCTGTGACAGACACCGCACAGGAGTGACATCCGCAGGCAAGCAGAGCTGCTTCAGCCGGAGTCATGGGGTTCCCCTGAGCAGGGACTGGGGAGGGGACAGCGGAAACCTCCTCCAAGGATGAACAGGACCACCGGCCGAACTTTCCATAATGGGGGGAGGGGGAAAGCTGGGCGTGGCGGCACACTCCTGTAACCCCAGCACTCAGGAGGCTGAGGCAGGAGGATTGTTGCAAATTCAAGACCAACCTGGGCTACAGAGTGAGCCCAAGGCCAGCCTGAACTGCATAGTGACACTTTATCTCAAAAAGACAAAAAAAAAAAAAAATTTTTTTTTTTTTTTTGTTTTCTTGTTAGGTTCAGCCTGGGTGAAAGGAGCCGAGCTCCAGGCCAGCCCTGAGGTCAGGGCAGGTGCCACGCAGGCTCTTCTCAGAAATAATCTCAATTTTGGGAGCCAAACTCAACAATCATTTGTTGCTGTGACCAAAAAAATAAACAATGTGTGGGTATCTCCTTTCTCAAACTATACTCAGGCTGGAATTACTCAAGAGCCTCTTCTAATGGAATTTCTGAACAGCAACAGTGGGTTTGTCTGTGCGCGTACACGCATGCGTGTGCGGAGACTAGCACGCCAACGCATGCGCATATGGACAACAAGCAATAGCATACCTGGCGTCAAAAGCACTTTTACGCATGCGCCTAAAGACAAGCGCGCACTTGTGCTAGACGCCTCGCGTTACACATGCACTTCCATGTACACACGTGAGTGTGTGCACAGACAGGCCAAGAGGCTCTGGTTGAATAGGGATTCTGTGCCAGCCCCGTAAGGGTGATCTCTCCCATGACTAGTTGGTGTGCCAGGGATTTTCCTTAAAGTAGGCCGTGAGCAGCCGGAAGCTATCACGCCTCGTGGAGGGTGCATCGCAGTCGCCGCGGATATGAGGAGCGCCATGGGGTGAGGAGCCGTAGGTGTCTTCGTGTGACCCTGAAGCACCAGCCTGAGGAAGCGCAATACTTTGTGAATTGGGGGAAAAGAGATGTTCTGCTTGGGAGTGGGGTTTCTTGGGGCCAAATCACTCAGGGCCTCGGTTCGTCATCTGGAACATGGACGGTGTTACAGGCCCACGAGGAGGGACGAGTGGGTTGCATCCGCGCTGCAGCCTGAATGGGCGCGGGGCCACCTGGCTCATGGGTTTGGGGTCCACGTGTTGTATGTCAGGCCTCGGGGTCTGCAGAGGGGACTGGATACCCAGTTGCTCCTCGCTCCGGTTGGGTTACCCTCCCCAATCCAGAGACAAGTTCCTGGGAGTGGCGAACCCGGGAGAATTAGGGGTTTGCTTCAGCTTAGTCTTCAGAGGTGCATTTCAGCCTTCACTTCCCGAGTGCAAGGAGTGGAGGTAGGAAAAACACGAGCACCTCCAGGCCGGTGGCCGCGGGCCTCACCTGTGAATCCCCCTTTGCCAACCCTGAGGTTCCTACAGCAAAGAAGTTTCAGCCACCCAGATCTCAGTACCACTGCGTCCAAGAGAAAAATAACTGCACACTGGGGGCTCTCAGAAGGCAAAGTGAAGAAGACTGGGCCAAACAGTCAGACAGCAACTTCTAGAACAATCAGAAAAATAAACCAAGTGCATTCATTTCCCGTGGCTGCTACAAAAATATTATGGTAAAGTTGGCAGCTTAAACCAGCACATGTTTATTCTCTGACAGTACTGGTGGAGGTCAGAAATAGCAAATGTCCAGCAAGGCAGTGTTCCTCCTGGAGGCTCTCATGGAGAGTCTGCTCCTGCCTTTTCCAGCTCCCAGAGGCTGCCCACATTCCTTGGCCCGGGTCTGAATCATTCCAGCTCTGAATCCAAACGGCTCTGACTTGTGTGCTTCCTCCCATCTTATGAGGACCCTGTGACTGCTTTGGCCCTGCTACCAAATCCAGGATCATCTCCTATCTCAAGGCCGTTACTACTCATCAGTCCATCTGCAGGGGCTTTTTGCTGAGGAAGGCCACATGTTTGTGGGCTCCAGGGCTTAGGGCCTGAGCTTAGGTGCTGAACCTTTTTGGTGCCTTCTACACCTGGAGAAATAGGTGTAGGAGAATACCCTGGAGGAAATGGAGTATCAGCTTAGTAACATTAACAACAATAAAGCTTAAGTGTGTTAGATTGCTTGGAAATATGCACCAGAAAAATCCCAAAACACTGATTTCTTTCCCCGCCAAAAACAAAGCAAAACAAAACAAAACCCTCCAAAAATGTAAGAACTAAATTTCTCATCTCTGTGAATTACCCAGTCTGTGGTGTGTCATAGCAACACAAAATGAACTAAATCCAGGGGGATATATACATGTGAAGCTTAAATTTGAGGAAAGTGAGAATTTATGTTCAACTGTACAATCTTTAATCATGGAAATTTACTAATATATTAACTTGCTTATTTTTAAAAGCACCATCATTGGTTTCCTCCATAAAATAAAATAAAAAATCTTTGGGGGCACTGGGGATAGAGCTCACAGGCACAGCACCTGGCTGGCTAGCATAAGGTTGTGAGTTTGATTCCTAGTACCAAAACAAAACAAACAAACAAAAAACCGGGAAATACAAGTGAAATGAGCAAGCAACTCCCAAGTTTTCCGTCCTGATTTCCACAATGAGAACTGAGTCGATGAATTACAAGAAGACTGGTCCCTAGTACAATCCAAATGGTGGGAAGATGCTATCTTAGGGCAAAGGAAGAGATGCAAATAATAAACATTCTAGAAGCAAGCCTAAAGCTAGCAAATCGTAAATTAAGTATTCTTAGGATGAGAAATGAACACAATGTATAGACTGAAAAAACTCTCAAGCTTCAAGAAGGAAAAGATTAAAAAATATTCACCATCTGGATGTAGCAGTGCATCCCTGGAATCCTTGGGAGGCTGAGGCAGAAAGATCACCAGGAGTTCAAAACCATTCTGGGCTAGGATGAGTTCAAGGCCAACCAGAACTGTATAGGGAGAACCCTTTCACAAAACAAGTCCGGGTTAGTGGTACACACCTGTAATCCCAGCACTTGGGAGGCTGAGGCAGGAGTATCAGTGTGTATTTGAGGCCAGCCTGGGCTATAAAGTGAGTTTGAGGCCAGCCTGAACTGCATAGCAAAACTTTGTCTCAAAAAACAAACAAACATCCGCCGCCTCCCCTCCCGCCCAAAACTACACACAAGCTTGCACACACACTGAGGTGATATCCTGGCAAAATTCGTGTACTCCAGGAATCAAGAAAAATCTGGTATGTTTCAGTGGAGAAAGAACATACCTTTGGTGAAAGAAACTGGACTTACCCCATAATTTTTGGCAGCACTGAAGACGAGAACACAGAGATCAAGAGGGCTTAGAATCAGAGAGCCTGAGTCTGTGAGGTATGGGTCACCTGAGTCGATGAGGGACAGGAGGAATACTAGCTTTGTTGCTCCTCATCTGGGCCTAATGTGGTAGCCCAGAGCTTTGTTACTGGACAAGCCAAGGTCTGAATCCACGCCAGCTATGGCTCGTTAGGATTCAGAGAGGTACTTTGCCTCTCTGAATCTCAGTTTTCTCATCTGTAAAATGGGGAGTAATGTATTCACCTCATGATGTGGTCATGAAGATTGCATTAAAGTGTTTAGTAAGCACTAATGACTGTGATTTTGGGGAGCGTTTGTTCATTCTTGGAACTTGCAGTGGGGATCAGGTGATTTCTAACCTTTTCCCAGATGTGGGAAATGTGGTCTCATCAGGTGGCAAAGAATCTATGCCCAGGGACAGTTGTCTTTCCAGTTGCCATTTGGAGAGCCATGGAATGTTATGGGGCCTCAGAAATTTATTTATTTACTTACTTTTCTTTTTGGAGACAGGGCTTTGCTATGCAGCTCAGGCTGGCCTTGACCTCACTTTTAGCCCAGGCTGGTCTTGAACTCACAGCAATCTTTCTGCCTCAGCCTCCCAGAGTACAGGGATTACAGGCATGCACCATCATACCCAGCCTGATTCTTTGCTTTTTAAACTGAGAGACACCTGTAGTGTAGTGTACATCGTCTCCATGTCCAGCATGGAGACTTTTCACATCGGTGCTCACCCATGAGCCAGGTCAAGATGTGGAACCTTCCAGCTCCCTGACTTTCTGGTGCTCCCCACCTGCCTCCCAGCAGTGCCTCGAAAGTCCTGACTTTCCAGCCTCTGGCACCATGGCTTGTTTTTTCCCCCTTCAAATCCATTTTATTTCTAGGATGAAAGAAAGAAAGAAAGAAAGAAAGAGAGAGAGAAAGAAAGAAAGAAAGAAAGAAAGAAAGAAAGAAAGAAAGAAAGAAAGACTACAACAAAATTTCAAAGCACATCGATCGGAGGCAACAATGGTACATACATTGCACGCTGTCATCCCCAAATCATTCACCAGGAGCACAAGACAGCTGCATTCTATTGTCTGAACAAAACCAGCACAAACCTTCCTCTTCACTGAACTCAGAGAAATCGGTAGTACAACTATCTTAACTTTTTCTATACATACACATATACGCATAAGTTGTTTCAGCTTCTTACACTAGTGAGAATACAATGTTTACTCGTATGTATCTTATTTATTTCACTTACGAGTATGGTCTCATTTACCTATAAAACTGTCCACTGTATCATTCTTTATGGCTGAGTAGTACTCCATTGCATAAACTACTGCGTCTTTTTAAGTCCATTCCTCAGTTGATGGGCATTGGGATTGTTTCCAAGATCTGGCTATTACAAATTGTGCTGCTTATAAACATGGGTGCACATATATAGCTATGGTGCAATGTTTTTAATTCTTTTGGGAAGATTCCCAGAAGGGGATAGCTAGTCCTAGTTTTTGGAGAAATCACCACACTGATTTCCACAGTGATTGCACCAGTGTGCACTCCCACCAACAGTGGAGAAGGTCTCCTTCCCCCCCTTAGCCCCACCAGCACTTGCTATTGCTTGATTTCACCCTGGCTTGGTTTTGCTGTTCTAAAATTTCCTTCCAAATTAGACTTTTATTTTAGAAGTGACATAGAGCTCGCAGACTTCACCACACACAGCCCTAGCATCTGTTTTCCTGATGTTAACATCTTCTGGGGCCACATCAGCACTGTCACCACTGACCACAGTCTAGACGACATTCAGATGTCGAGCGTCATCTGCTCTCAGCCCTCGTCTGTTCTGGGATCTTATCCAGGCCGTGGCACTGGAGGCAGCCTCGCAGACATCTTGCGTCTTACACACCTTGTACACACCCATAATCTTTGTCACATTAATGGTGTGTGTCATCCCACACATACTGGTTTTCACATTAATGGCATCGTAACATACACCCCTGGGATTTTGCACTGCACGATTGGCCCTGAAGTCCTTTGGTCCCCCCACGTGGCTCCCCTTTGCAGCTAAGCAGGGCGTCAACAGTGACCCACAAACTGTGGAGGAGACTAGGTGTCTCTTTCAAGTGCTCAAATAGTCATTAGAAGGAAGTCAGAGCATTATGGGATGTTCTCGTGCTGGCTGGACCTCAACGCACAGCGTCGGAGTCGGCATCCGTCCAGCCTCTGGGGCTTCCGGCCCTGCTGGGGGTGCGTTTTATTTCTTCTCCTTTGTGGATTTTTTTTTTCCACTTTTGTTCCTGGAATCCAAGTCTAAGCCATTAGCCCACATTGTCAGGAAGGAAAGAAAATCTTTTTCCATGTGATGGTTTTGCAGGACCTAGCAGCCCCTGAGGAGGCTCACTGGTGTCAGTGGACTGAACAGTTCATCAAGTCACGCATGACCATTGAGGACAGCGCCTGGCCATGCAAGTGTCCTGTAACTACTCGAAGGTTTCCTCCAGAAATGAAGCCACTGCCAGTCAGCCTGCCTCAGCGTGAGGCCCCTCTCCAGAGGGTGTGGACTCAGCTGCCCCCCACAGAACAAAGGAATGCCAGGCCCTGCCGCCCCCAAGCCAGTGTCTGATGGGCTGTGTCACCCAGTGATAGCCTATCTCCTCTGTCAGGGCCCCCAGGCGTCAGAGGGCGCCTGTCAGAGTGGGGAGGTGGCTTCTCCAGCTGGTCAGAGAGATGTGTCCATGTAATGTTAGGCACCCACGGGATCCCAGTTGTGACTCAGGCAAGCAACACCAGCCTCTGTGACTTAGTCTTGCTGTTTGTGAAGTGGGCAGATAGGTTTCGTTTCTTTAAAGAGGTTTTTTTTTGGTGCTTATTTTTGAGACAGGGTCTCACTATACAGCTCAGGCTGGCCTTAAGCTCATTTTGTAGTCCAGGTTGGTCTTGAACTTGCAGCGATGCTCCTGACTCAGCCTCCCGAGTGCTGGGAATTACAGGTGTGCACTGCAGTAAACGCTCGGTTTACTTCAAAGAGTTATTATGAGCCAGGTGCCATGGCACACATCTGTAGTCCCAGCTACTCAGGAAACTGAGGCAGGAGGATCAGGAGTTCAAGGCCAGTCTGTGCAACTTAGTGAGACCCTGTCACTAAATGAATAAAATAGGCTGGGGATGTAGCTCACTGGTAGAGCTTAGCCTGTTTGAGGCCCTGGATTCAATGTCAGCACAGCAAAAACACACTCTCCTTCCTAGCCCTTCACGCCCCTCAAATGAGGAATCCAGCGGCTCTCTACTGCCTTGGGGGAGGTCTGTCCTCCCTGGCCTGACAGTTAAGACCCAACCACTGGGCACTGACTTGCTATGACCAGAAGCCGCGTTCCAGGTCAGCTGCTCTGCTGTCCTGCCTGTGGGGGCCTGGACAAGTGACTTCATCACCCTGGGGCTCAGACTCTTCAGTGATAAGCAGGAACAGTGGCACAAGTCTTAGACTGTCAGGAACCAACAGTTCATGTGTTGTGTGCTGACCCTGGGCCAGGCGCTGTCCACAGCATTGGCCTTGTGGTCACTCATGCAGCGGTGTAGATGGCTTTGTATGTGGTGAGCATGGAGTCCACCGACCCTGAGAGAGGGAATGTGTGCGTGTGTGTGTGTGTGTGTGTGTGATGTGATCGGTTACCTTTCCAGCCTCATTTGCTCTGGCCCCAGAGGAGGCTGTGTACTGAGTCCCAGGTTGACTTGAGCTTGGTCCCTGTGGGTGCCTAACAAGCACACTGGGGAAATCAGACCCGCCCGGCACGGCCACCACCTAGCCACTGCACACAGCCTTGCCAAACTGATGCCCCCCCAAGAGATCGAGCCATTATCATTCTATTTCTATGGCTGCCTGTGCTCAGTGCTGTGAGGCAGGCACTAATATGAGCCCATTTTCCAGATGCAAAAAGTGAAGCCCAGAGAAGAGCCATCAATTGTCTTCTTTTGGGCCTGGGGACCTAGGCCAGTCCTCACCCTGCCCCCTGCCTGGGAGCGTGGAGCTACAGCCCCATGCAGTCAGACGGCCCTCAGTGGCTTTTTCTTCCCAGGTATTTTTAGCCCATGGCCACCTGGCTGGCTTTTGTGAGGGGCACAGGCACCCGAACAATTCCATTTTCACTGGAGCCCTTCAGATGCCTGTGGCTCAGCTGTCGTGCAGCGTGCCTGGCATTCCAGGGCATTGTCCTCTCCACGTGGCCTGATGCCAGCAACAGCTGCAACTGACCATGCCCCCCACCCCCAGGCAGCCAGAGCCCCTCGCAGGGAACATGGCATGGTGACAGCCCCCCCACGGGCCTGGAGCTATATAAAGGCCACGAGGCTGGCTCCTTATTCATCTGACCTGGGCTCTGGGGTGAAGGACCTTTCAACGCATCTTCAGCCAGCACTGGCTCTGCGTGTGGGCGGGAGCTCCCCAGCCACCGCCAGGCCTTTGTGGTGTGACCCGGCCACAGGGCCTTGGCCTTGGCGCTGGCAGCATTTGGGCCAGCTCCTCTGTTCCTGTGGCTGTAGCCGGAGGGTGGGGTGTCCTGTGCATTGCAGGATGTTGTTGAGTGGTGCCCTCAGCCCCCCTGCCCAACCCCTGACACCAAAAATGTCCCAGACATTGGCAGCTGTCCCCAGGGGAGTGGTCCCAGTCTGAGGCCCACCAACCTAGAGAGTGATGTCTGGGTGGGACAGCTGGTTCCCGAGGCAGGGCGGGCATCTTCTGGCCAGGGCCTTGGGGAGGGAGGGGAGTTGGAACCAGGATGGGGCTGGCCGCTCCCCTCAGTAAACCTCCCCCCTCCCCTGCAGAGTAAGTCGGGTCAGAGTCCGGCTTTACTGAGGGTTTGAGGCTGGCTGCTTCGGTGCAGGGGTGCTGAATGAAATGGGTCCTCTCAAACTCTGCTCCACACTCGAGCCACGGCTGCCTAGGGTGAGCAGTCAGGGCTTCCTACCCACTCGTAGTAAAAGGTGACTGGTGGTGGTTCAGTCCTAAACTGTGCCACTGGGTAGCGCCAGTGTCACTGCCAGGCCCTACATGGTCATCCTGATCACAAGGCCTCCAAGAACTCACTGGGATCACCTGTCATCTCCCTGCGCAGGGCTATGGTGGGCACCCAGCAACCTTCCAGGCCCTGTAACTGCTCACCTTGGTGACACCCAGAAGCTTGGCTCTTCACAGCCCAGGCCAGAGGGACCTTTGCTAAAGTCACTGTGTGCATTTTCAGATGACAGCCACTCTTGGGATGGGACCCCTCTCCTCCCTGGAACTCTCCACAGGTCTCTGGCCAATAACCATCTGTCAGGTGACCAGGTCCTCTGGCCACCATGCAGGCCCTCTCCCCTCTGTCAAGACCAGGACTTCCCACCCAGCCCCTGACGGTGTGCGGCTGCCTGTCTGTCTGGAGGGGCTCCAGCTCCCGGCAGCTGTCCCTGGATGCCATGAAGGTGCCTCTGGACATTGCCAGGTGTGTCCCGGGGAGAATGGCTGCTCCATCTCCCTTTGGTTCCTCCAAGGCCGGCTCCCCTGTCACCTCGCATCTCTGCCCCAGCCCCATCACTTCTTCCAGCGCGAAGCAGTCACTTGGTGCGTGGTGGTGGAGTGACACAGTGACAGGCTCCGTAGTGTTTCATTGTTTGTTAGGGTTTCCTTCCCCAGAATGTTCCTGGACAGGAACCAGGATTTGTTCATCTCTGCAGCATCTTTGGTCCTGCACACAGGTCACCAGTGTAGACTTGTTCCATGGAAGTGGACTCAGCAGAGCCCGAAGATGGTCAGGAGCAGGCACAGGACGTCATTCTTCAGCAAGCACTTTCTCCCCCCTCCCGGGCAGCCGTGCCCATCCTTTTTGCCCACCCTGCCGGATGAGGCTCTGCAGGCCAGCACTGTCCCCCTGCGGGAACTATGCTGGAGGAATGTGGCCTTTGATCTCCATCTCCTGCCCCAACCAGGGGGCCCAGGTTGCCCATGTCCCCTCAGCTCCCCTGCTGACTCCACTTAGGCTCAGGAAGATGGAGTGTTGGGTTCAAGTCCCGCTGTGTGCCCGGGTGCAGGTGCAGCGGGGCTCCCGTGTGCTGTGATCAGCTAGCGCTGTCTGCCGTGGGTTCCGTGGGTTCCGGCTGAAGGAATGGAGCTGGGTTTGCCATGTTTGTTTTGCCTCCTTTGCAGGTGTCCTCGGAGAACCGAGACAGCAAGAAGCTCCTAGCCCTGGGTGATGAGAAAAATGGGAGAGAATCTCAGGGTTGCTGCCAGTGGAGCATGGAGCAGTTGTGTTTTTCCAGGAAAAGCCAAGCAGAAAAGGCTAAGTTGGCTTTTTTCTCCTGGGTGACTTTGGACAGGGGAACAGGAGCCTGAGGGATTAAGGGCCAGGGTGTGCTAATACCTCTGTATCCTAGTTGGGGGCCAGAGGATTTCACAGAGGACAAAAATAGACAGGAGATGAGAAAGACAAAGGGGGCTGGATTATGGAACCCGCCGTGGCATGAAGGTGCGCACCAGCCAGGCCGCTGAGGTGAGTCATAGTTTCCCAAAGAGAGCAGCACCCCGCCCTGCAGGCCATGGTGCTGCTTGGCAGTGGCCAGGGATGATCCCCGAGAACAGAAAGCAGGCCGGGGTCAGCTCTGAATGGAGGCCCGGGACCCTGGGTCAGCGAGGGACGCTTTGGGGGCAGAAGGCTGCTGGCAGCGTCTCAGACCTACGGCAGGGGCTGTTTCTCTTCTACGAGGAGTCTGAGAACCGGACAGGCCCAGGGTTGCAGGGCAGCTGGGGACGCCACTGGCTGTCCTGTTGTGTCCAGGATGGCGCCAGTCACGCTCCCCACCCTCACAGCAGACAGAGCAGTGGTGGGGAGAGGGCTTCTCTGCACAGGTCTGCTCTGTGTCAGGGTGACAGTGGCTTCCTGGGGGGGACGTCCCTCCCAGCTCACGGCTTGGCCACAGGGAGGTGCCACTGTCCACACCAGGCCTGGCCTCCCTGCTTTCCCATGAAAGCCTGTTTGGCCAAATCCAGAACACACTCAGTTCTGTTAGAGAGAACAAAGGTGGCAGATACATTGGGGTAGGCAGTAAACAATGTCTGTTCAAACCCCCAAATAACTCAGGCGCTATTTCTCAGACATAGGCAGTCAAAGCGTTCTGTGACAGACCGCGTCCCCTGCACCCGCTGAGCCTGGTTCCCTGGCTTCCTCGCCCCGCACTCCGCAAAGCCTGCACCACCTGCTGAGTAACCGCTGCTGTCCAGGTGCTGTTTCCGGGGCGGGGTTTTTATTGTCTCTTTCCGGCCTGCCATAACTGCGGGGCAGAGGAAGGAGAAAGCACGCCAGGGGGCAGAGCCAGGTTTGCAAGTGGGGCCCTGGTTCTGGACCCTAATGCGTGACCTCAGCTAACGTGGACAAGCGACTGCCCGCTGGGGAGTTGTTTCTCAGGAAAGTTCCAGCTCTTCGCTGACCATCACCTCCACCCCCTAACCTCGTCGCTAGCCACTGGGAGAGGTCAGACTAAACAAGTTCCTGAAACTGCTGTCTGCCTGGCCGCTTTCTCCTGGCACCCCCGCTCCTGTCTTGCATGACTTGGCCTCCTCTTCCAGGAGGTGGAGGCGCGCTTTCCTGGCTGGTGTCCTGCAGCTCTTGCGACTCCCCAGCAGGCGGCGCTGCGACTCTAGGGCTGAGCTCCGCGTCTCCCTGGAAGGCAAAGGCAGCGGAAATCTGGGGAGGGACAGGGACAGCTTTCGTCCCACCTGTCCCCGCCAGGCCTGCCAGACCCATCGCATCCGTGCTGCTGCTTCTGCAAGCCACATGGGTGAGGGTGGAACAGAGTCGTGCAGGAAAACCATTTGCCGGTTTATGCTTCATTCATGTTATTTGTTGCTCAAATGCGAAGTTGCCACTATTCACCGAGCCCCATTGGTGGCCCTGTGAGTCACCAGGGAACAAAACACAAAAATCCCTCCTCTCCTAGAGCCGGAGGCCGGGTAGGAGGTCAGGTAATGAACTTAAGGAGCCAGGGACACAGAGGGTTAGAGGTCAGGTAAGTTGTATGTACTAAAAGGAAAATGAAGCAGGGTAAAAGGTTAGAGAGAGGGGGGACAGTCCTTCCCCCACCCCGGTGCCGGGGGCTGAGTGCAAGGGTGCTGCACCCCTGAGCCACAGCCTCGGCCCTCTACAAATGCATTTGGAGACAACAGCTCACTAAGTGGCCCAGTCTCACTTGGGATTTGAGATCCTACCGCCTCAGCCTCCTGAGTAGCTAGGATTATATATAGGGCTGCCGAGAAAAGCAATTTTAAGTACAGTGGTGAGGAAAGGTTTCTGCAGTAAATCATGACATTTGAGCAAAGACTTGAAAAAGTGCACGGTCTTTGGGAAAAAGCATTCCGAGAAGAGGGAACTGCAGGGCAAAGGCCTTGAGGTGGAACAGTGTTGATGTGTTAAGTGTTAGTTGTTAAAAGTGCTTGATGTGGCCGGGGTGTAGCTCAGTGGTAGAGCGTAGGCATGCTGAGGCCCTGCATTCCTCCCCAGCCCTGCAAACTAGCCGGAAACTCATTTATTGCGGTGGGGGAGATGTGACATTAAAAAAGAAAAATGTCGCTCGCAATCCTCTACCCACAGTGGCAACTGTTCACGCGGTGTACGTTTCCATGGTCTATTTTTAAGCATATACATGTACTTGGGAAGGTACTCACTTCTCTTTTACAGAAATGAGAGCCATGCGGTGGTTTCATAACCATTTATTTGCCTGGTGATGTCACACGCCGAAGGTTCTGTGGCAGGAAATGCTGACCCACGCGCTCATTAGGCTGCAGTAGAACATCCCACGTGTGAACATCCTGTACATAATCTGACCCTGTTCCCCGCTCGTCTCCCGTTTCTCCCAATCCCGTGGGGCTGCTGTTCTTACGGCATTCTTGCTCGAGTGTCTGTCTGTTTCCTGCGGTGCTGGGACCTAAACCCAGAGCCTCGGCATGCTGGGTAAGCACCCGACCCCAGAGTGGCACCCCGGCCATGCAGCTGCTTCCTCACGATGCTTCTAGAAGCAGAAGAGCTAGACCCTTGGCTCTGCACTCGCAGAGCCCATGGGCCCAAATGTGTCCCAAGTGGGCCTTTGCGGGGGCCCCACAGCAGCCCAGGGTGTTGCCTGGGAGTAAACTGCCTTTCGTAAAGAGAAGTAAGCACCCCATTAACTTTGCAGGGTTTATTTCCAGAGCTTGGCCAGATGAATAATTTTATTTTAATTTTTTTCTTTACTCATTTTTATGTTAAATTTGTTTATATGGGGTATGCATTGTTTTTTATATTTTTCTCACAAAAGCAACATTAACATGTTATACAAATCCAACATAAGAGTATTGGCTAAAAAATAAATTTAAGAGCTGGGCGGGGTGGGAAATGCCTGTAATCTCAGCCCTTGGGAGGCAGGAGCAGGAGGATTGCTGAGAGTTCAAGGCCATCCTGAACTGCATAGTGAAACCCTGTCTCAAAAAGACAAAATAATAATAACAATATAAAAATGAATTTAAGCCAGGAATGGTGGTGCAGGCTTAAGGAGGATTGCCTGGGCTACATAGTGAGTTCAAGGCCATCCTGAACTATATAGGGAGATCCTGTCTCCCCCTCTCTTCCAAACACAGTATCAGCTGAGGCGCTGGGGAATGGACAGCATTCTGGAGAACACAGAATCAGGTGCTGCCCAGAGAAGTTGGCTTCTAGGTGCACATGTGACCATTTCTAGTCAAGGGCAGTCCCTATACCAACACCTTGGGACAAGAGGAAGAGAAAGCACCTCCCATCAGGTCACTGGTGGCCTTAGATACTCAGGACTGTGAACTGCACATGTGAGGGACCTGGGTTCCACCTGACCCCCATGTCTGTGGGAAAACTGTTCCACACTCTCAATCACAGGTGCCAAAAAGATTGGACACTGCTGTTCCACACTGCATACTTTTTTTTTGTATGCTGTTCTTAAAAAACATCTAGGCACGGGCTCTGTCTATTCATTAAGCACCCCTAAAACTGCATAGCTTGAAAAACTAACAATCGTTTTGTTTGCTAATGAGTTGGCAAGCTAGACAGGACTCCCAAGTGGCCGGCTCATCCCTGCTCCATGGGCTTCAGCTCCCAGGGTGGCCCTAGCCGAGGACTGGGGTCCCTCTCCACAGGAGCCTGGATAAGGAAGGCTTGATTCTCCCATGGTGGTGGCTGCAGGGAATAAGAGCTGGCTTCTCAGGAGAGCAAGACAGAAGTACATGATCTGTGACCTCGTTATGGAAGTCACGCACTGTCATTTCTGCTGTACTCCACTGGTCAGGGAAGTCAGAAAGGCCAACCCAAGCTCAAGGGAACGGAAAGCTTCCCTCTTCTGATGTGGGCATTAGGAAACATTTGGGGCGGAAACACTGTTACAGCCATTTTCAGAAACCATAATCCATGAGTCTGCCACCTCCTCCCACACACAGGAGATGTGGGAGACCTCCAAGCTCCAGCTCCATTATGGGACTGAACTCAGCGGGATTGGAATTGAGGCCCGGTGCACAGGGGGCTCACTGGGGACTGTGCCTTGGGGCCAGTTCTTGAATGCTTCTCTTTTTGGTGTGAAACTGTGATGAGCGCTCGTGCAGAGGTGGGACAGTCGTAGGACAGGCACTCTGCCTGCTCGGTTCAATAGGGAGAAGACAGGAAGAACACAGTCATCACTGGCCCATAGCAGTTTTGAAATTATGGGGCAAAGATTGGTAAATGTTGTCAGATCCTTGGTTAGGACTCAAGTCTTGTCTCCTAGAATAAGATCCTGAGCCCTTGTTCGTTTGCTCTAAAAAGAACCTGTATTTGGTGCCGAGCGGTTATTATTAGTTTGCTTCCTATTCGCACAAGTTCGGGGACCCACTGCCTCATTTTATGTTGTACTGGCTCTCTTAGTTCTAATGGGTCCTGCCTCACTCTGAATACTTTTGTTAAAAAGTTAGCTACAAGCTGGGCCTGGTGCTCACACCTGTAATCCCAGCACTCAGGAGGCTGAGGCGGGAGGATCCAAGTGCTCGAGGCCAGTCTGAACTACATAGTGAGTGAGACCTTGTCCCAACCTCACCCCCTCCAAGATTTAGCTGCAAACTGGGTGTGATAACGCATACCTGAGGTCAGTCCTACCCTGCGGTTTTCTGCCTTTGAGCCACCTGACTGTTGATAGAAAACAACCAAATTAAACCTCTTTTCCTTTAAGTTGTGGGTGTGGATATTTTGTCCCAGCCAAGGGAAAGTTGACTAATATGTAGAATAATTTGATATGCATGAGAAATTATGCATAACCCAAGGTCATGCAAATATTTCTTATAGGAATCTTTAAATCCCTAGAGTTGTTTGTACTGAGGATTGAACCCAGGACTTTAGCACTGAGCTACACCCCCACTGCATCCCTCTTTTTGTTTTTGAGACAGAGTCTAGCTAAGTTGCTGAATTGCCAGGGTAGGTCTCCCATCTTCTGAGATCAGGTGCGTTCAGGGTGGTGTGGCCGTAGACTAAATTGTCCAGGTTGGGCGTGAACTTGCCATCCTCTTGCCTCAGTCATAGTTCTGTATTTTTACATTGAGATCTGTGAAGTTTGTTTGCTGAGGCAGGATCTTGCTATGTATCCCAGGCTGACCTCAAGCTTAAAGCAATTCTCCTGCCTCAGCCTCCCAAGTGCTAGGATTTATAGGCACATGCCATTACACCCAGCCTTTGAAGCATTTTGAGCCACATTTGCTTACAGTAAGGGGTATAAAATTTCCATTTGTGTAGTTACTTTTCTCTAGACACTGAGACAAAATACTCAATGCCCAAAATTAAGAATTTATTTAGCTCACAGTTTGTGGAGGTTTTAGTCCATAATCAGCTGGCTCCAAAGCACAGTGGTTTGCCTGAGGGGCAACCAGTTCATGGTGGCATAAGAGAGCAAAGGTAACAAGAACAAAAAGGGGGAGCAAACCTCTTTTCCTCTCTTATTTTGCAAGCAGGCTACTCCCCTGCACCCCGTTGGGCATGAAAGCACTCAGGCCATCTCCATTCCCTCCTCTTGCACAGCCTCAGGATGTTTACAAAAAGAGGACCCTCATCCCCTCCTGAATCACTTAAATGTCTAAACTTCCCAAAGTGATACAGTATATCAACTATTACAACAGTTTGGAGAGTGAACAGCCACTCTGCCACTTGTCCTCTACTCGGGAGGATACAGACCTGCCCAGTTACTTAGTTAAGCTTCTAAACTTCTCAGATTGACACAATGAATCAACAGTAATACCCTTCTTAACATAAGTGGAAGAGAAACAAATAAATTGCATTAACATTACAAAAGAAGTCAGATTGGCAGGTGACAGGATGTCTGTGTAACAAACCTGCTGGAATCTACAAGAAAATGCTACTAGAACTAGCAAGTCAGAGGGGCTGCAGGGTACAAACTCGGAGCCAATTGCATTGCTGCATACAGGTGATGGACAGCTGGAAATGAGAACTTTAAACCAGTACCACGGACAAGGCAAGCTAATTCTAAAATTCACGTGGAAATGAAAAGGAGTGGAAAGCCAAAAGATGTTAAAAGTAATGACAAAGCTGGAGATTAATACCTGATTTCAGGACTTACCATAAGTTTACCATATTTAAGACACTGTGCTTTTGATCTAAAAACAGAAAAATGGATCAATGGAACAGAACAGAGTGTCTTTAAATAGATTTACACATAAATAGACAACTAATTTTAGACAGAGGTCCAAAAACAATTTGGCATAGAGCAGATAGTCTTGCCAATTTTAAGTTGGGTGATGTTTTTCAAATATTTTTCCTGGTAAATAGTTCCTTGTCACTTGAAAGCATAGAAATTTGAAAGCATAGAAATTCTAAATTTTGATGAAACCCACTTTATCTTTGCTCTCTTTCTTTCTTTCTTTCTTTCTTTCAATTTGTGTTTTTGTGTCCTGTATGAGAAATCTTTCCCAAACAGGTCACGATGTTATCCTATGTCATCTCCTAGAATTTTTATTGTCTTGGGCTTTACATTAAGAATATGATCCATTGTAAATTAATTTTGCGTGGAGAGCCAAGAATGAGCTAGGCCCCCCCTCAAACCTGCCCTTCCTCTCTCCCTCCCTGCCCGCCCTCCTCCTTCCTTCCTTCCTTCCTTCCTTCCTTTCTTTCCTGTGGTTGTACAGTCGTTCAAGCGTCATTATTGAAAAGACTATCCTTTCTTTATTGAGCTGCCTTTGCACCTTGGTTGAAAATCAATTGCCCCTATATGCGTGGGTCTATTTCTGGACTCTATTCTGTCCTATTGATCTATGAGTCTGTTCTTTCACCAATACCACACTGTCTTGATTACTGTAGCTTTACAGTAAGTCTTGAAATCAGGTAATAAAAGCCCGAGATCTTTTCTCAGGGTGAGAACTTGTTTTTCACCTAAAGAAGCCAAAAATGAGAAACAGTCTAGCTTTTGAGCCCGGCGGGTTCTGGTTTCTTTAGACATAAAGAGCTGCTGCTTTAGTTCGTTCCCCTGCTTTTGCATTTTACCTTAGCGAGGAAAAGCCAGACGATGCCTTCAGTCCTGTGCCCTACCACGGCGTTTATCAGATGCGTTTTCTCTTTTTCATTCTGCAGGTGGGAGGCTTTCTGCCACCCAGTGACAAGGTCCTCTTTGCTGCAGTCCCAACAACATTGTCTTAGGTCTGCGCTGCTGCTCGAGGCTGGAGCCCTGAGTCTCCGGGCCTGGACGTGGCCTCTGAGGCGCAGCTCCTCCAGGCCTGCTGCGCAGCTGCAGCAAAGTGGCGCCCGGCGCGGCCGGGAGGGGGCGCTAGAGGCCGCCCGAGCGTCTGGCGCGGGGTCCCGGGGCCCGGAGAGGAGCCCGCGTGGGCCTGGTTGGCGGCGCGGCGGGCGGATTCCTCCCGGGAGGCTGCGGACCCAAAGTGTTCGGGCTCACCAGGAGGGTAGTGCCGCGTCGCTGATGCCCTGGCTTTGGCAGTCCAGACGCTCGGCGTGCACTTCTGTTCTGTCTGTCGGTGCAACCCTGGCCCCAAGGAGGGGGATGACGCCGCCCCCTCCATAGAGGGTGCTGAGTTCCAGAACGCTGGGAAGGGTGACAGGGAGGGGAGCGCTTGGGAAATTACCATCAATGTGCTAAGGAAACCTCTCATTTATGACAATTTTTTCTTTATGCCTAATTAAAAATAATCTCATGTCCCGTAATTATTTGATGCATTTCCTCATTTTATTTTTCCCCGAAGCTTCCTCTCATGATTTAGGTATCAAAACCAGTGATGAGCTGAACATAGCTCCCACAGTTTCGTGAAAGCTGATTGTTAAAATTCGGAGAATTTTGCAAATTAGTTGTCAAACGTTAATTATTTTAAATTATATAATCTTACACTTGAATAGATGAAGTTTATTTATTGTTTATTTTGTGGAGCCGGGGACTGAGCTCAAGGCCTTTGCGCTGAGGCACAGAGGGCTCACCCGCCCAGCCTGGCCATCATCACAGCAAGGCCCGCTGTTTGCAGATGCGGCCTCTGCAAAGTCTTTCGCTGGACTTCGTGGTGAGCAGGGCCAGGCCTGGCAGGAGGCCTCACAAAACCGTGATGGCCAGTATTTCAAAGGCTGCAGAGATCGCCCGGGGCGCCTGTTTCTCCTACTGCCCCTTGCTTCGAGAGGAAAGGCCAGACCATGCGGAGTGGAGACACGCTAGAGTCGCGCGAACATGCGTGTTATGCTCCCATTATGCACTGCGCTCTATGGTCTTTTGTACCTACTCTTCCCACAGAGGCCCCAGGGGCTTCTGGGAAACAGATGCTCTTATTTGGGGGTGGAGTCCATCGGGACCCCGCCCTCCGTAACTGGTCCAAGAGTGGGGGCGTGACCCAATCTGATCCAATCAGAGTTAAAGTGATTGTGGGTGGAGACCGCTTGCTTGGCTCAGCCTAAGGGAAGCCTTCGCATGCTGCAGAGCAATCGTGTGCCAGAGTACAGCCATTAACGAGGAAATGGGGCAGAAATATTGAAAAGATCCCATCTTTTCAGCTCTCGGTAAACCTGCCTCTCACTTTCCATCACCCTGCGCCCTCACCAGATTATTGAGTTGTGCGTTCTAATTTTATTGTTTTGTCCGAGGTTTAAGCCAGTTTAGCCCCAGCCCCAGTACTGGGGATAAACCCAGCGCCTCACATAAGCTCTGCCACAAGGAGCCACACCCCAAGCTCATTGCAGGCAGCTATTTGTCCATATTGAAGGCAGCGCCCTTCCAAAGAGATTGAGGTGGCACTGATAAGAGAAATGGGAGGAGAAAGGAGTGTTATGGCAGACACTGATTGCTGTTAAAGGGTCACCCTTCCCTCCCTCCTTCCTGGCAAGTCCCTAATTTATTAGACACTCAAGGCAGATGAACTTATTAACAGGCCCTGAAGGTGAACGTGCAACCTTGTTTGGCCATGAAGGTGCAAGGGACAATCTCTGGGACATTCTGTGGATGTTTTTCTTCCCTGATATAAAGAAAGCATGTTCTAGGAAAATCTCTCTGCTGTAAGCTTGTGAGGAAGTCCTCCTCTGACTGCATTTGTGTGGGGCTGTGATGCCTGGAGCTATGGCAGCAATTCTGTGACCATGAGGAGAAAACCAAGAAAATAACAGACATTAGCCTAGTGCTTTAAGTATTGCTCAGCCACTGTATGAACCCTGAAAGCCTTCTCCTCCAGACATTTTGTTATATGAGAAAAATCAAATCATATTTATTTAGGCCAGGGTTTAGGAAATGTTTTCTATAAAGGGCCACATAGTAGATATTTTAAGCTTTGCAAGCCATATGGTCTCAGTTGAGACTACTCAACTCTGCATTTATATCATGAAAGCAGCCATAGACAATATGTTAACAAATGGTTGTGACTGTGTTCCAACAAAACTTTATTTTCAAAAACGGGCAGTGTCAGATTTTCGCTGTGGGCCAGCCTCCACTTTTGGCCCTGTAAGCTGGATTTCCTGTTCCTTGTGCCCGAAGCATTCCCCGGATGGCAGTCTCCCACCCCAAACACAGCTGTGCTCTCTGGCCCTCATGTTGTTGCTGGCAGCACTGACTTATTTTTCTCTGTCCACCAACATTCATTCATTCAGCAAACATCTATGAAGCACCTATGGGTCAGAAACCATTCCAGTGCTGGAGCCACAGTAGAGAATGTCAGGCCCTGTCTTTAGGAAGTTGTCTTATGTAAGTGGCAATCAAGGAAGACTTCCAGAGGGAGGTGATGACTGAAGGATCTTGGAAGGATGGTAGGATCTGGGAGGAGGAAGGGCAGAGCAGGAGGGCATCCCAGGCACATGTGTGCTTAGGATAGACCTGGTGGGGATGAGAGGGGTGATCGAGGCTGCAGGGGACCTGCTGGGCCCTGCCCTCCTGGGGACCTGGCACTGGGTGCCTCTGAGCAGCCGGAGTTAGTGCACTATAACAGCTTCTGGGCACAAGGGCCGCGGGGGCATGCGAGAGACAGGCCAGGGAGGACCTCGAGGAGGCACAGAAGTGGAGGGGGAGGCTGGGGGGGCCCGGTCCTGGGGTGGCACTCGGTTCTCCTCAGGACAGAGCTGGGCTCGAGGCCTCAGCAGGCAGGCAGGCAGACAGGTGCTCGGCGCCCGCCCACGAGCGGCTCCCCGTCTGCGTCCTGAGACTCTCATGGGGTTAATTGGACTTGAGCACAATTATCTTAATTGATGGCATCAGGTAAAATCAATAAATGTCAAGCTACATAGCCCGGCAGTGTACCGGGGCGTCTCGGGCTGGCTCTGCTCTGAGCACCCAGGGCGTTTCTGGACAGGGGTCACTGTCCCCCAGAAAGGGAGCCCAGCCCTAACCCGAGGGAGAGGAGAACCCTGGGTGTGCCAGGCAGTCCCTAAAGCTGGCTCCAGGTACCCCCCTGTTTTAACATATTATTTATTTGGTGTTTGTTTGTTTTGAGTCAGGGTCTTGCTATGCAGTTCAGGCTGGCCTTCAACTCACTGTGTAGCCCAGGCTATCCTCAAACTTAGACTCCTGAGGCAGGAGTCTTCCTGCCTCAGCCTCCTGAAGTAGGTTTAAATTTAATTTTAATGCCTATCAAAAATAATTGTACATACATTGCTTTAAAAGTCAAATGGTTCTCAAAAATCAGCTTCTGATTACACACAGGTGCAAGTAACAGAAAATCCAGTTGCTGACAGCAAACCATCAGAGTTGATTTTCATAGTTTTGTTGTGATTCACAACTAGAGGTCTAGAGATAAGCAGTTGGATAAGTGGCATAAAGCATCAAGTCAGATGTTTCTTTTTTTCTTATTCTTTTCCTCGTGGTCACAAGATGGCTGCTGCAGCTCCTCCATTTGTGTTTCAGACTGGAGGAGGGTGGTAGAAACACTCACGGAAATCCTTGTGTCACTTAACAAAAACCAGGTCTTGCTACGACTACCACACAGCGAGCCAGTCTGGGAAACGAGAGTTTTCTTTTGTAGTTTTTTTGTAGTTATTTCTCCATGGTAGAAAGTCAAGGGAAATGAGCTTGAGAGGTGAGGAGTGAATCGGTCTCAGTGTCTGCCCTGTCCCTGTCCCCCGTCCTCAGGCTGAGTTCGTGCTTTCTCAAAGCCATCGGTTTCAACTCCTTTTGAAGTCTTCTTTCTCCATCTTTCTAAATCAGTTGCGTGTCCTGTTGCCCACTTGTTTTGATCCCGCTCAGCTGTCGCCGCTGTCTTTTGGAAGGAAAGACGTCTTTCCCCGTCACCGCGCCCACCTGCTGCACGTGCCACTCACGGATGCAAACCGACCCACCCCAGATTCCCAGTATAGAGTGACACTGTGTACATTGTTCACTTACGTTTTATTTTATTGTAGTATGTTTAAAATCTTTCATCAACAAACACTGCTCTCAGTGACCAGAGTCAGCGAGGACAGTGATAAGACCCGGATCATGTGCCCCTCGGTGCCCTGGCAGGTGACGCTTTACCTCAAGGGCTTCCCTGTAGCACCCACACCGGCTCCCAGGAGAAGCGCTAGCTGGTCCTCGGGTGTCTGCAGACGTGCAGTACAGGCCTGGGGCTGCGTGGAACAGTCCGGTCATCAAAAACCAAAGCAAGGGTAGCTGAGAAACCGTGACAGCCCAGGGCAGGGTGGGGGACGTGAGGACAGAGGGTCATACATGCAGGTTCTCCTGCTGTGGAGCCTAGAATAGCAACGGACTTGGGGAAGACGGTTCCGAATCAAGGCTGGGCTACAGCAGATAATCTGAACGTGGTGATCCATTCGCTGGGGCGCATTTGCCATTCTGCTTTATTTTAATCTGGGGGGCCGCATTTGCCATTCTGATGTCAGATGTCAGCAACGGGTGATGCAGCCGAGGGGACTTTCTGAACTGTTTGTGCTGTCAGCTTTCTAGACATCTATTCGGTGTTTATATTGTGGTGGTGATTTCGGTTATTTCCAACTGGATGCGGGGCACTCTGACTACATTTGTGTTTCCTAGAGTTAGCAGCTGCTTTTTTTTTTTTTTTTTTTGCCGTCTAGTGTTCCGATCAGTGACTCACCCCAGATCCCCAGTAACACGAATCTCTCCACACTTGGGACCCCGTTTGATGTTTCAGCGCTGAGTGCTGCTCTCTTGTCTTTTTCCTACACCCTCAGTCTGAAGGTAGCAGGGGTTTAAGCACTTGAA